AGGTTGAATGGAGCATTGGGGAAAAAAATGATTGATCCATAGAAAACCAAGCATATGAAAAACTGAAGCAAGTATTATTTTGTTGTTATTGGTGGTGATCATGGGGCTTGAATTCAGGGCCTGGGCACTGTCCTTGAGCTTCTTTGCTCAAGGCTAATGCTATATATACCATGTTGAGCCACAGTGCCACTTTGGGTTTTCTGGTGGTTAACTGGAGATAAGAGTCTCATGGACTTTCCTGCCTGGGCTGGCTTTGAACCATGATCCTCAGATCTCAACCTCCTGAGTAGCTAGGATTGACTATAGGCATGAGCCACTGGCACCTGGCCAAGTGTTATTTTTTGAAAGAGTGAAAAGTGGTCAAAGGACGAGGCTCAGCAGAGAACAAAATCTGTTTCTACATTTTTTATCAATAATAATAATAACCATATATAAATGCTTGTTGGCTGTTAATATACCCCCCCCCAAAAAAAACCGGTGGCATAATTATGGTGAAAAGATGGGTCATGGAAAAAAGAAGGGCCAAGTGAGAGTTCTAAATCTTCAACCACTAAAACAATCTCAGTGGCTGGGTACCAGAAGCTCATGCCTGTGATCCTAGCTACTTAGTAGACTGAGATCTGAGGATTGAGGTTCGAAGGCAGCCCAGGCAGAAAAATCCAATAGACTTTTATCGCCAATTAACCAGCAAAATACCAGACTGGATGTGTGGTTCAAGTGGTGTAGCACTAGTCATGAGCAAGAAAGCCAAGCAAGAATGTGAGGCCCTGAGTTCAAGCCCTAATACCAGCATCAAAAAAGGGGAGGGGGCGGGTCATAAATGTAAAATCAAAGATTTTTGGAAATCTAGAAGTAAAAGGAATTCAAGCACATTATTTAGAACTATGAAGACAGTGTCTGAAGAATCAGCCAAGAGTTCAGTTTCTCTAGGGAAAATTCTTAGGGGGCCAGGCAGAAAAGGTGAAGAATGTTAGGGCTCATCTTTCACCACATATACACTGTGTGTGTGGATTCCTTAAAGAAAAACAAGAATAGGAATGAAGGGGAAGCGTGTGTGTGTGTGTGTGTGTGTGTGTGTGTGTATGTGTAGAGAGGAGTGTGATGGATCTGTGAGCAGCTGAGCTGGGCAGAAGGTGAAGGCCGGCACATGGAAGGCTGGAGCGTGCTAGCCTGGGAAGAGCCATGTTTACATCCCGCATGGAATGGCAGATGAGAGAGAGAAGGAGAAACGTCTGAGAACAGAGACAAAACCACTGATGGGGCAGGTAGAAGGGAAACCCTGGACTTAAACACTTTGGGAGGGACATTTGGTATCGTTCATTCCTGCTCATGGGAAATCCTGCCATCTCATTAGCTCATTCTCTCTTGCCCTCCAGCCTGCAGCCTGGCACATAGATGTGATCTTCTTTCCTTTTATTTTTCCTTTTTCCCACAGTCCAGAGCTGCCCCTTCTCCCCTTTTCCCCTCCTCCCCTCCCTTGCCTCCTCTCTGCTCCTCCTCCACCCTTCTTTCCTGCCCCTCCCCTCCTCCTTCCCGAAGCCCTTCCCCCTTCCCTATATCCCCCCCCTTCCCCTTGGCCCCCTTCCCTTCTGCCCCTCCCCCTTCCTGTCTCTCCCTGTATTGGGGTGATCAAACCCAGGACCTTGTGCTTGCCAGACAAGCCCTTTTCTACCGTGCTACATGTCCAGCCCTTCTATGCTTTCCCCAGTCAGGAAAGTCTCCTCTTTCCCCACTATTCGGAATCTATGAGGGAATGAGAAATTCGAATTCAAGTCTCTCGTTTTATGGTTGTTTGTTTTTTTTTTTAAAACATCTTACATTCTTGGACTTTTTTTTCCTCTCTAAATGGTAGTATGGGGGTTTGAACTCTACCCCCTGAGCCACAGCCCCAGGCCGAGTGGAAATGTTTTCATCTCACAGAACTCATTTTCTCCTCACACTAGACATCAGTTATTTCTTCGTAGCCTCCTGAAAGACAAGCATTCAAGTCAAAGGTCTGGATGCATACACTGACATTTCTAGAAAACACTAGTTGCCACCCATGGACCAGTTCTTCCTGCTAACATGATAGAAATGGTCCTAGGAATGGAATGACCATATGGGAGCAGAGGGTTACCGTAAGGACGTAGGATGGGCCCCAGAGGGACCTTCCTGGGGTTGCATAGACAACTGTGGCCTTCACCACAGTTAGTACATTGAACGTAGTAGCAGGTGGGAGGCCCAGGGACTCCTGGGTAGCTTTGTACTGCGTGTGTTCCTGGAAGACACCTTGGCATGGAAGGCCATGGAGCAGGCACACAGCCCCCACCCAGGAGCCCCCCCCACCTTGCTTCTCAGGGTAGGTCTGAACAGCTGGACACAATGCCCCTGGTGTGCCTCCTAGTATTTCATTATACAGTATGTTTCGGCATAGGAAAAGGCGTCTACTCTTTGATCCTACTCATTCTTACAAAATCCCCTCCCACGGCACCTATAAGATGTTATTGATGTCACAAAGGGAAGCTGAAGTCTTGGTGCATTTAATCCTTCCGCTCCCATCCCCACTGGACTTCATGTTTTAAAGGAAAGCCATCCAATACTTGTAAAGTTGGTTCTAAAATTCCACAGAGCCATTTCCATGGTGGTTATCCTTGAGAATTTCTGCAAGGTGGCTGAGTGTTGTGACTCTAGGTCAGGAGTTAGATGTGTAACCACCTTCTACAGTCACTGCTAAGTATTTAGGGGCACAACAGGGACTTCTAGCAAGAAATGGTATAAGCACAGTGTGGCAGGTAAAACACTAACAGGGTACCAGCAAGTAACATTAGATGAGGACAAAAGTCATGGGAAAATGGCAGGTAGAGTCTAAAGGAATGCAGTGTTTGTGTTTTGGTCCATTCAAATTTGGAGCTCTACCCCTTTGAGTGACACCTCCAGTTCTGATTTTTGCTGGTTAGTTGGACAAAAGATTTTTTTCAAATTTGTCTGCCCAGATTGGCTTCGAACATTGATCCTCAGAGTGCAGCCTTCTGAGTAAGAATTACAGGGCAGTAGCCATCATCAGCACCACCTCGTGTTTCATTCTTTTAGGCAGTTCTAGGATTTGAACTCAAGGCCTTGCACTTTCTAGACTGGTACTCTACTACTTGAGTCACACCTCTAGCCTCGCTTACTTCAAATAACAAGCTCTCCTGGTTAAACTCATCAAAATCACATTTCTCAAGCCATCTTTTCATTTATTCATTCATTTCTCCCTTTTTGTCTGTTTCCCCTTGATTTTTCACCCTGTCATCTTCTAACCCATGCATATAATTCAAGTCCAAAGTCTGGACGTCATGGGGAATATGGTGTGGGACCAAGATGTAGCAGGAGCCTCTTAATCACAAACTATGTTAGTTTGTGGGCTAAAACCTAATCATACGTCATTGTGTTTTGTTTCATTTAATCTGCCTTTGTGCAAATATCAAGAGCAGTTGCTATCTAGATAGTTTTGGGGTGCTAACAATTCTGAAATGAGAAAATAACAACTGAGAACTTTGTGGTTATTATGTTTTGTATTATGTTTGACTCAAAACTTTTGACCCAGGGATGACCCACGGGAGTAGGGTGTGCTATGGCGTGCCAGCCTTGAGCTCATTAACTCTTCCACAAGGTTAATCTCACAAACACAGATGATATTTCACACTTACATTCTGCTTCATGCTTATTCAAACATGCTTCAAATGAAAGAAAATGATTCCAACAAAAGTAAAGCTGATACGAATAATAGTGTATTCATAACACACACACACACACACACACATCTCAAATCACAAGTATTCTTCATTTGCAAAACACTTCACACTTAATGAGAAAAACATTTGAATTCTATTAAGCTCTGGATGATGTCATCTTTTTTTTTCTTGGTATTCATGTATCCCAATTTACCTTCTGGTGTTTTCTAGCCATCATTATTTCTGTTAGCTATGAAGGGCCATTCTGCAGCTCTGTTCAAATTGCTTTACAATGTCTATCAGTTGCACACTTGAATAGAACAAAAGTCTGACATTAATGTTTCTAAAACTTATTATAAAATGAAATTCTGGGATGGTTTTGGAGGTGGCCAAAACTTCTACAATGCACACACACACAAATAACTCAAACTCTGATTTTAGAATTCCATAGTTCATCACTGCTTTATTTCACATCCAAAATTGTTTCCATAAATCATATGAGGGCTTTAGTTTTTGCAACATTTTAGAGTTATCAGCCCTTTGAAAGCTTTGAGATTCCCCCATCCCCTAGTATTTGTATCAAATTCAAAAGATTTGATGGCAGCAAATGACAATTTTTAAATGGTGCCCTAACAGAGCTTTTTCTTTATTTTGTTTTGTTTTATGCCAGTACTAAGGCTTGAACTTGGCCTGGATACTGTCTCTTAGCTTTTTGTGCTCAAAGCTTGTGTTCTACCCCTTGAGCCACATCTCCTGTTGGATTTTCTGGTGGTTAACTGCAAATAAAGAGTCACAGATTTTCCTACCCAGGCTGGCTTCAAACCTCCATCCTCAGATCTCAGCCTTCTGAGTAGCAAGGATTAGAGTTGTGTGCCACTGTGCCTGGACAGAGTTTTTAAGAAATAAAATTATCAAGGACCAATTTGGTTTACAGTTAGAAATGAAGGGACCCAGCCCTTTCAAGCCTGTGAGGACTGCCGACTGTCTCACTGATGAAGAGCAGAGGCTTTCCTAAGGGCTGAGAAATGGGTCCATTCACGGGTTTCATTTGAAACAAAACTGAGACTAAAAGCCAGGCCAGGCTCCCAGCCCGGCAACCCTAATAAACCACACCACAAACAGCCATTCTGTTCCTCTCCCCAGCATCAAAACAAATGCACAAAGAAGAAAAGTCACATGGCTATTAGTTGGTTATTTTACAAACGAGAGGCTTCAGACTTCAGTTAGCACACATCAAGTGTGGGCACAGACAGAAGGCTGGTTTTCACAGGCATGCAGGCAGCGGAAGCATCTGCGTGACATACCCCCTCAGCTACTGCCCTCTGCCCTTCCCCCTCCGAGAGAGGTAGCGCTGCTGGCTGCCGATTTCTTCAGCTCTATTTTCATAGACTGAGTCTCAGCCCGAGGCTCGAATTTGGTCAGATTTCCTGCTCCTGGGGCTGCCACTACCGGCTTTCCTGATTTCATACCTTTTGACACGGGAATGCGGGTGGGTGTAGGCCGCTGGCAAGACCCATCTTGTGCTGACTGCAAGAGAGAACACACAGAGACAGGAGAGGGGGTACCGGGGTGAGTGAGTTTGCCCTGGAAACCATGACTGGTGTTCATCAGTCTGAACATTAGCCAGATGCCTGACACACAGGCACACCCACACATCATCCTTCCCTGATAAGCAATTGTAGAAAACTTGAGAGTTGGGCTTTTTTCTCCCTGCTACTCTTAGGGCTTGATACTCGGGGCCTAGGTACCATCCCTGAGCTTATTTTCCCTCAAGACTAATGTTCTACCACTTGAGTCACAGCCCCAAATCTGGATCTTCAGATCTTAGCTTCCTGTGTAGCCAGGATTACAGGTGGGAGCTCACTGGTACCTGACTTGGGAGTTGAAAGTGAATCTTCTTCCAATTGCTGCCTTTCCCTCTTTCAAAAGATCTATGTAGACTTTCCTTCTCTTCTCAAACCATCCCCAGCCCTTACCGTGTTCTTAGCATCTATTTCACAGGGGGAAAAAAAAAGTCATCAGCAGGTAGGAACAAATAAGTCAAACTCTGTTTTTAGGATTCCATAGTTTGTTACCATGAGGGCTTTCTTTGCTTCTTACAAACTCAAACCCAGTGACCTTAGCTTCTATTCAATTTTTTTTTCTGGTTTGGTTTTTGCTGGACTTCAAACTCAGGGCCTTATGATCTCTGAGCTTTCTTATTCATGACTGGTGTTTGCCCATTTGAGCTATGCCTCCAGCCCCACTTTTGGCTAGTTATTTTGAAGATGGAATCTTGTGTGCTTTTCTTCCTGGGCTGGCTTTGAACATCAGTCTTCCAGATGTCAGCCCCTTGAATAGCTAGGATTACAGGTGTGAACCATCAGTGACAAGTTTTCCCTCATATTTTTTTTAAATGATCATGGCTGGCCAAAGTGTGGCTAAAACTTTTTCCAAAGGTTTCTTAGGTGATTTTCACAATTCACTTCCAGTCTCTGATGACTCCCTTTCTTGCTCTCTCTCGCTCTCGCTCTCGCGCTCTCTCTCTCGCTCTCGCGCTCTCTCTCTCTCTCTCTCTGTCATGGGGCACTTGAACTCAGGGTGTTGTCCCTGAGCTATTTTGCTCAAGGCTAGTGCTCTACCAATTTGAATCACAGCACCACTTCTGGTTTTCTAGTGGTTAATTATAGATAAAAGCCTCATGGACTTTTCTGCCCAGGCTGGCTTCAAACCATGAGCCTCAGATCTCAGCCTCCTGAGTGGCTTGGATTACAAGCATGAGCCACAGCCCCTGGCTTGCTTTTCATCTCTCGCTGGTTCCTGGCTGTAGATGGGCCGGATGCCATGTCCTGTTCTCAATTCTCAGTTCTTTCTAAATCTTTTAGACATACCCCCCAAAATCTCCTTAGTTACTCCTCCATACCTCCAAACCCTACTTCACTGCTCACATTTACAGCACCCCCTCCTCTGCCCCTCTGGCACCCCCCAGACAGCTCCAAACTAGCATGCCTCCACCAGGTGCTGGTGGCTCACACCTGTAATCCTAGCTGCTCAGAAGGCTGAGATCTGAGGGTCAGGGTTCAGAGCCAGGGAGGGATGACAAAGCTGCAAGATTCTTATCTCCAATTAGCCAGCAAACCTCCAAAATTGGAGATGTAGCTCAACCAGTAGAGTACCAGCCATTGAGTGAAAAAGCGCAGCAAGCACTTTGGGCCATGAGTTCAAGCATCAGAAGAGAGGGAGAGAGGGAGAGAGAGAGAGAGGAGAGAGGGAGAGAGGGAAAGAGAGAGGAGAGAGGGGAGAGAGGGAAAGAGAGAGGAGAGGAGAGAGAGAGAGGACAGAGAGAGAGAGAGAGGAGAGAGAGGGGGGAGGGAGAAAAATAAAGCTATCTTGCATCAAGGATTGTTTATCTTTTTTTCCAGTCATGCATACCCCTTCTATTTCTTAAATATACACCCAGACAACCAAACTAGAAGGCCCAGAGACACCTACTAAATTCTAGTCACTCATACTAAATTTGCCCCTACTCTTTTTCTCTTAGGTTACTTTTTAGATAAGGTCTCATTCTTATTTATTTGGCCAGTCATGGGGCTTGAACTCAGGGCCTAGGCACTGTCCCTGAGCTTCTTTTGCTCAAGGCGAGCGCTCTACCCCTTGAGCCACAGTGCCATGTCCAGCTTTCTCTGTGTATGTGGTACTGAAGAATGGAACCCAGGACTTCATGCATGCTAGGCTAGCACTCTGCCACTAAGCCACCTTCCTAGCCATGGGTCTCATTTGGTTTTTTTTGCTTATTAAGAGTTTGAAACTGTGATCTTCCCACCTATGCTTCCTTGGTAGATGGGAATACAGGCAAAACCAGCACACTTGGTTTATCATCTGTTGACACAATGGCCTCACTAACTTTTCTTGGGGGTTGGGGAGGAGCTGGGCTAGCTTTGGGCCATAATCCTCTTGCTCTTCACCTCCCAGGTAGCTAGTATTAGAAGCATGAGCCGCTCTGTGAATGTTCTGAGGCACATTCTCACTACATAACCCAGGCTAGTCTGCTGCAACATTAGCATCTCCTGCCTCCACATTCACAAGCCCGTCCACAGCTGCTACAGCGAAGACCATGTGCTCCCCTTTCCCCACGCCCCACCCTTCCCACTGTCACACCTTCACACATGCTCTTCTATGTTCCCCTTCTCTATTCCTTCTGAAGAATCTTTTCTTATTTGTGAAGGCTTCTCTAGTAGGTCCTTTGTGCAAACCTACCGCAGAACTCTTAAGTCGGTTCCAGCTAAGGTGAGAACTCCAGAAGTCCTTGGTGCTCCCCAACACCAGACTACCATGGCTGAGGTGTAGCTAATGCTCAATAAATACAGAATGCACAGATGGGCTGGCCTCACTGCCCACAGTCTGAGCTGGGATGGCCTAAGCCTACTGTGGTCCTAAATTGTATGGGATCTGATTTGCCTAAAAGACACGCACTATCAGTTAGGTTTTGAAATCTTATTTGTGTTTGGGGTCTACTCAGTAATCAAAAATGTTGCTATAAGTGGCTCACTTACAGTGGCTCACACCTGCAATCTCAGCTACGTAGGAGGCTGAGATTTGAGGATTGCAGTTGGAAGCTAGCCAAGGCAGGAAAGTCTTTGAGACTCTGACCTCCAATTAACCACTAAAAACAAAAGCTGGTAGTGGAGCTGTGGCTCAAGTGATAGAAGCATTTGCCTTGAGCACAATGGCTCAGGGACAGGTCCTAGGCCCTGAGTTCAAGTCCCAGGACTTGAACAAAAAAGTTGCTACAGGGAGTAAGCCTATGTTAATCTGAACTTCAAGATGGGGATACGATGGAATAGCAGAAAACAGCGCTCTAGTTGATAGTGATTCACACTTCCGTCACCTTGGTATAAGAGGCATCAGGAAGATATAACACACGACCCAACCAAGCTCGCCCTGTGTTCCCTAAAAATCCTTTTGCAATTGCAGGAGAGGGTGGAACAAAGCTGAGCACTCTATGACTGCTCTATGGCCAATAACTAAAAGCTTTACTGGCAAAGCAATTAGTAATTCATACTGTAAAGTCTGTCTTGCGTCCAGAGAATTAATGTAAAGTATATTAAGGAAATGGGAAATAAGCCACAGTTTCTATACTTAAATTTTGAGCTTCCTGTATTTTTTGAAAAACATTTCAACGAATGCTACAGAATTTGTTCCATGCATAAGAATCCTAATTTCTACTCTACTCATTTAAATTAATAACTAACTACTACATGGTCTCCTATAAGAATTTTGGCCCCAATAATTGAAGACAGGATTGTAGAAAGAAGAAGTATTTTAGAACATATAATTTAGTGTTTTTTTTCTGGGGGGGGTCCGGTCGTGGGGCCTGAACTCTGGGCCTGGGCGCTGTCCCTCAGCTCTTCAGCTCAAGGCTAGCACTCTACCACTTGAGCCACAGCACCA